TGTTTTCCGGAAGCAGGTGACTGAAGCTCCCAACTGCTCCTTTTTTTCTTTTTTCTTTTTTTTTATTCTGGGCCAGCTTTAGCTCTGAGGCCTCGCTGCTGAAAACACCAATACAATGTTGTGGTCCGGCTGGCTTAAGCCCGGCTGAATGAGAGCTGGTTTCTGGGGTTTTGTTTAGCTTCTTATTTGCAACATAGTACATAGTTGCTTAGAGTTGCAGCTGAGAGGCCGGCAAGTGCGAGGAACGTTGGAGTCCGCCGTCACTGGAGCAAGCAAGCCTCCCTGCTCGCTTCAGTGCATGGCTGCCAGCCGCCAACTTGGCTGACAGTTAATTTGCATAAGGATATGCTGATTAGCCAATGGGAAGGGTAGCGGTTGTACGCTAATTACCATGTTTCTCTTTTATTAGTGTAGATACTAGAGGCCTGGTGCACAAAAATTTGTGCACTCGGGGCGAGGGGTCCCTCAGCCAGGCCTGTGCCCTCTGGCAGTCTGGGACCCCTTGGGGGATGACCACTTGCTGGCTTCGGCCTGCTCCCTGGGGTATTGGGCCTAAGATGGCAATCAGACATCCCTCTGGCAGCCCGGCAGCCCTCGGGGGATGCCCACTTGCCAGCGGGGAGCAGACCTTAGCACTGCTGAGGAGGCAGGAGGGGCTCCCACCACCACTGCTGTACTGGCAGCCATCAGCCTGTGAAAGGACAGAATGGGACTGATAGCTGTGTCCCTAACCCCTCTTCCAAGAAAAAGCCATAGAATGTATCAGTTACTCAGCCTGCCCTTATCTCAGCCAATAGGAAAGCAAGGGAAGACAAACCAAGGCCAACAGTATGCTAGCCACCCCCTGTCTTTGTGTAACCAGACCCTATCTGCACCCTGCCCTTGCGTCATTAGCCCCCAGCCCTCACTCAACCAATAGGAATCGGCCAAATCAGTGGTCTGAGTATAGCCCTCACCCTCCTCCCCCCCGACCCCAAGCCCTATAAAATCTTTGTTCTTTCAGAACTCTGGGCTCTCTCGCATCCAGCAATGGAGGCAGAGGGACCAAGCTGAGCTTGAATAAAGACTCTATGCTTTTGCATCGGACTCGGTGCTCCCTGGTGGTGTCCTATGGGGGGTCTTGAAATCTGGGCTAACACCTGGCTTGTGGTTGAGTAGAGCTCCCCCCTGTGAGAGTGCATTGACCACCAGAGGGCAGCTCCTGCATTGAGCGTCTGCCCCCTGGTGGTCAGTGTGTGTCATAGTGATCAGTCATTCCCAGTCTTTCTGCTGTTAGGGTCAGTTTGCATATTACCTTTTTACTATATAGGATAGAGGCCTGGTGCATGGGTGGGGGCCAGCTGGTTTGCCCTGAAGGGTGATCCAGATCAGGGTGGGGGTCCCACTGGTGCCTGGCCAGTCTGGGTGAGGGCCTGAGGGCCATTTTCAGGCTGGTGGGCGACTGAAGCTCCCAGCCTCTCCTTTTTTTCTTTTTTCTTTTTTATTCTGGGATTTATTTACCTTCTATAGCTGTCACTGGAGCTGAGAGCCGGCTCCAGCTCTGAGGCATGGCTGGCTGAAAGCAGGTATCTGGGTTTGTTTAGCTTCTATAATTGAAACATTGTTGCCATCACCGCCTCTCTAAGCTCTGAGGCCGAAGTTGGCTGAAAGCATGTATCTGGAGCTTGTTTAGCTTCTATAATTGCAACTTTGTTGCTTAGAGTGTAGCTTAGAGCAGGCCGAGGCAGGTGGGGAACCTGGCTTCCTCCATCACTGGAGCAAGCAAGCCTCCTGTTCCCTTCAGCTGCATGGCTGCTGGCCGCCATCTTTGTTGGCAGTTAATTTGCATATCATGCTGATTAGCCAATGGGAAGCATAGCGGAGGTATGGTTAATTACCATGTTTGTCTATTATTAGATAGGATAGATATGCATAGCCCATGGACACAGACAATAGAGTAGTGAAGGCATTGGAAGGGTGGGTACGGGGTGGAGGGGGTCAATGGGAAACAAACAAACAAGTGGGACATCTATAATACTTTCAACAATAAAGATAAAAATAAATAAATAAATAAATCTTGCCACTATTGCTAAACTCCTCCTACATGAGTGTCCTGAAATTCTTTTCCCGTGACACCACAGAAGTGCCTATTTCCAAAGGGTGCTGGGACAGACCCGCCTTGGTGTCAGTCCTCTTCTGGTAACAAAAGGGTTCTCACTCATACTCACTCATTGGAATGCAGCAGAAAGTGGTTTTATTGCTGTTAATACAGTATAACAAAGCTTGGCAGAAGTTCCCAGGTTAAAAAAATGGAAGTCTGGACACTTCTTTGCCCTCTTCCTTATTGCCTTTCTTTGAAACAGACAGAAAAGCAGGAAAGAATCCTAATTTCTTTATGTCCCAACTCTGGTCTGGTGTCCTTGACACTTTAATTCTTCCAATATCTTCCTTTTTTCTTCTATGGGAACCAGGGAATCAACATAAGGAAAGGCAGAAGGGAATCTGGAACCAAGTGAGAGGCAAAATGATAAGAACTTTAAACAAGCTTATCTAAGTGTACAGGAATCAAATGATAGGGAGGGTCTCTCTTCTGAGGGGGGTCACAGGCAATAATGAAGAACTTGTACTGGGCAGAATCTTTGTAGCTGCAGTTAGGATACTTCCCTGCAGTGAGATTGCAGTTAGTAAGGTTAACAGGCTTTGAACTCTGGTGGCAATTGTTCCGGCCATTCTTGCAGACAATCTTGGGCAACTCACAGGCAGCAGCCACATTCTGGAAGGAGTCATGCAGAAAGGTGTTTTGACGCTTACAGTGCCGAGTATAATTATTGACACCATGCATTGCCTTGTTGCATTGGAGAGGGCTTGGTTGTATATGCTGAATTTCAAACCACTGAGCCTTGGTGAGATTCTTAGGCAAAGCATAAAGTGGATATACTGGTCCCCATAGTCCCAGCAGCAATAGGAGGGGAGGAAAGCATTTCAAGAGATCTAGCACCATCTTTCTGTGTAGGAAGAGGGAAGAAACAGTAGTAGTATAAGCAATAAGAGCAAAATTATTATTTATAACCATTTAGATTTTTATTGTAATTTTTAAGATTTCATAATTCTTTTTTCTTCTAACCATCTTCTTTCTCACCTGAGTCTTACAATTCTGTGATGAGCCTGAGGAGGAATATGAAGAAGACCTTTCCTCTTATTGGCCAGACCTGATTCTTCTCTTTGTCCTATACTCATGGATTTGATGGCCCCCATGTAAGAAACCTTGTCTCTTTCCTCCTGAAACATTTATCCTCTATCTATTTGACTTGGACCTCCCAGCCATCTTCACTGTCTTAGTCTCCCCAGCCCTGAGGCTTCTCTTACCAGCTTTCCACCTTGGTGCTCCCTCTGGAAACAGAAGCAGTAGTTCCCGGCTCAGAGGCTTTTGTAGGCTGTTTCTTCCCCAGGCATTCCAGAGCTGCCTACCTTCTCAAGGGAAAAGTTCAGAGCCCTTAAGAAAGAGAAAGACTTGGAAGATAATCTTTTTGTGTGCAATTTGGATGAGATACTTAGACCTTCAAACTCACTGTTTAAAATCGTATCAATATCATTAGAGGCACAAGAAGAGTAAGCTTACTTAAAGAAACAGTGTGACTCAAAACTCAGTTTGAGGAACTGATCACTTCCTGATGTGGGTTGTTTGCTTCCTTCCTGATTTGAAGCTTCAGTTTTTTGAAGTTCTGTGATTTCAGTTTCTTAAGAGTAAATCTGATATAATAGCTGCCACATACTTGATAATGTTATAAGTCCCAACAACAGACTTGAATAAATTATTCATTTATGTGGACAATTATTAGAACAGATACCGAGCTACTCAGATTTCATCCTATCTAATAATAGACAAACAGGGTAATTGACCGTACCTTCGCCACACCTTCCATTGGCTAATCAGCATGATATGCAAATTAACCATCAACAAAAATGGCGGTTAATTTGCATACGTAGGCTCCAAGCGGCGGAGCGAAGACTGAAGGTGAGCCGGAGCTGCGAAGACGGAAGACGGAAGGTGGCTCTGGCTGGGGCCGCAAAGACGGAGGATGGAAGGCGGCTCCGGCTGGGGCTGCGAAGATGGAGGATGGAAGGCAGCTCCAGCCGGAGCGAAGGCCTGGGTCCCTGGTGCCACACGGAGGAAAACCGGTGCCAGCAGACAGGAGAAGGGAAGGCCTATTACACGAATCTCTTCTAATAAAAGAGACTGGTGTTCTAATAAAAGAGACTGGTGAACAGAAAAATACATTAAATATGAATAAATATAAACATCACTGACAGATCTGATAGAGGAAAGGACAGGGAAGTGTGAGGAGACAGTAGAGAGGAGGGATCATTGGAGGGCACAACACCTGAGCTGAGTTTTGATTCTCAGAAGTGAGATGAAGAGGATGGTAAGGGCATCCCCAGAAGGAAACTCTGTGTGAAGAGACCCATACACATGAAGAAGAAGGGAAATTTTGGATATTTGGTTATTGAATTCATTCTTATCTTCCCATTGGTGCTGCAGTTCCCTTATTCAGAATCTCATTGTCTCATCCTACATGGTCTCCCTACCTCTAGCCCAGCCGTGGGCAAACTACGGCCCGCGGGCCGGATCCGGCCCGTTTGAAATGAATAAAACTAAAAAAAAAAAGACCGTACCCTTTTATGTAATGATGTTTACTTTGAATTTATATTAGTTCACACAAACACTCCATCCATGCTTTTGTTCCGGCCCTCCGGTCCAGTTTAAGAACCCATTGTGGCCCTCGAGTCAAAAAGTTTGCCCACCTCTACTCTAGCCTCTTTTCCTTCCAACTGTTAATGTAAAAACATTCAAACCTGTAAAGAGTTTTCGTGAGTTTATTTGAGCCAAACTGTCGACAATTGCCGGGAAGCAGAATCTCAATGGATTGGGACAATGCTCCAGGGAATGGAGTTTTTTCACCTTATTTTATACTTTACATTAAAGGAGGAGATGTAAGTGGGTTACATGAAATCCATTGGTGATAGATTAAGGAGGCAGAGAAAGCAAAGTGGAGAGGTGGGGGAGAAACCTCTGGGATTGGATAAAAAGTGAAATGATAGACACATTACTTAGGTGGTTAGCAGTAAACAATTAACATGACAACAATAACAATGAAGGAATTTGTGATATTGAAAGGGAACGTAAGACATTTGTTGGGACTAGCTATCTGAATCTGTGCCAGAAACCTGCATTCTGATGCACACTCCTGCTAGCCAATAATTAACTCCATTCTTATCTGTGATGCCTGTCCTGCCTTGCAGAACCTGTTTCCTGGAATACTCCCATTTTACAGAGGCCATAAACCATGAACCATATATAACCCCTGGAGGAGGTTGGCAGCCCTGGAGGAGGTGCCAGACAGGCCAAGCCTTTGAGTGTAATCTCACTTCCCCCATCCCAACTCATGGGGGGCTCCAAAGCCTGTGAAAAGTCCAGAAGCCTGATCCATATTTGGGGGACAAAGAAACTAAGGGTATAAAGGGAAAGCTTCATCCATATTCATCACTCAGGTTTCGGATACAGACTGCCCTGAGTCACTGTACTAGTACAGCTACAAATAAAGGGTTTTTCCTGAATTTTCTGAGTACTTGTTGTTGTTTTTCAGCTGCCTGGTAAATTCTGCAACATAATTTGGTTCCCTGACCAAGAAACATGCAGCCGAGTTGCCCTTTTGAGGAACTGCTGCATGAGAGTAGGTGGGTGGGCCCTCTCCACCGAGCCCCCACAATGAAGGGAATGGCGCCATCAGCGATTGACTGAGTCCCAGTCTTCCCCGCACTCAGTTGGATCGGGCCACCTGCTGGGGGCTCCAGTGGACTCCAAGGAAGACAGGAAAGCCTTTCCGGGACCAGACGTCTGATCAGTAAGTTTCCCCGGGGACCCAGTCTGAGTTCAGTCCTGCCTTTAGGCGCAGAAGATGCGACCAATCACTGCCTATGCAAAATATTTGCCTCAGTTCAGGGACTTTCCATGGGTGGAAGTTGAAACTCAGACTGACTGTTGTGTGAATGTGAGTGTGAGAGTCTGCATGAAGTGAAAGTTACCTTGTGGTTGTCCTGTGTCTCTGTTAACTGGGAGGGATTACACAGTTTAACTTCAAACATGGGCAGTAGTTCCTCTAAACCTGCTGTCTTAGAATGTATGCTAAAGAATTTTAAGAAGGGCCCAGACCACTGCCTGCAATGCAGATGCCTCTCCATGAAATCAGGGGACCCCAGCTTATGGCCGAGGATGGGAAACAGAAATTCCAGGCCTGGGAAATACGTTCTCCCCAAATAGTCCATTGGGGAGAATGCTGACATTCTGGGGAGGGGCAGTTCCTGAACCAGAGACAGAAGACATTGCTCTGTGGTGTAAACTTTTAGTGTGTTTCGCACACCTTCATAGGAGTGTTTGTTGATATTTTGTGTCTCTTTGTTGTTTAAAGATGGGGCAAGTCCCACTTTGGGGAAATCCAGTTAGGTGTGCTGAGGCTGAACATGTGACAGAAACTACAGGAAAGTTCTATTAGCTGCCAAGAATTTTTTATCTTGAGGACCCTGCCTGCTCTCCCTCTCAGAATGTTGGCCACCAGAAACTCTTACTTAGTGAGGTGTCTGTGTGTCTATAATATAATTTTGGCTTTCTATCTTTTAGGGACTTTAGTTTGCTCTTCCCTGGTTTATGAATATGTATAGGGACAAAAATTATATAGGGAAGTAAACTCTGTAGGCTGGGATGGGCAACAAGGTTGATGCTTCCATTATAATGTGCAGTTCTTGAATGAGGATGGATTCATCCTGGGAGCATATGACTCCCAGCCAGATTTGTACGTCCTTTCTTTGAACAGAAAGGGCAATCATGGTTAACAGCATAGTTATATTTCCCATAACTATAACTAGTCCCCAATGTTATGTTTTCCCCCATAACACTGGGAGGAACAGATCCGTAGAAGTACCCTCCACCTGTGAAGCAGGGGCACTCCTGTTTCTATAAAGGAAAATAAAATAAAGTGGTACTTTCACATTGAGTTATCCCTGTTACAAAATTGGTAATAATTGGCTTTAGAAATCTCAAAGTTGCTAAGTTATAATAAATAGATGTAACTAAAAGGAAGGATTTATGATAAAGCTTTTCAGTAATAATTGATAAATATGCTAATAATACAAGTCCAGTCACTCAAGAGGAGAATGACTGTGCTCTCTGTTGGAGGAAGGGGCCAGTCATCCTTCTCCGTGTAAAAGTAGAGAAGCCTAAAGAGAACAAGGGCAGACAGAGAAATGTCCCCTCCCTTTGTGACCAGGGGACAATCTGAGGGAACAGCCAAGATGGCAATTTACAATCCCAGCCTCCTTCTCATCCAACTGGCTCTGAGGCCGCTGTGCTTCCACAAACTAGCTTTTCCAGGTTGCGAAAGGAGTTGGAGCAGTGGGAAAAAAGTTAAAACCTCTGCTGGACAACCCACCTGACTTAGCTGACCAGCTAGACCCAACTTTGGGCCCACAAGTGTATACACAGATCTGAGTTAATGTCTATCATGGGAATACTATTCTCAGGAAAAGAAGGGGGAATGATTTGAAGGTTGGCTATGGCTATCTGGGAAAGGGAGCACCTGGCTGGCCCTGGTGTCCTTCCAGCAGATGTAAAATTTCCAAACCTGGGAGCCCCAGTGGGACCTTAACAACAAGACCCATAGGAGACACATGAGAGATCTCTCAGGAAACTAATAATTAATGGTATTAGGGAATCAGTTCCCCGGTCTCAGAACCTAAATAAAGCCTTCAATATTCAGCAAGGCAAAGAAGAAGGGCCTTCTGAATGTTTCAAGACTAAAAGATCAAATAAGAAAGTACTCTGGACCAGACAACGAGGACCTGTTGGGCCAAGAAATATTAAAAATTACATTTTGTCATCAATAGTTGGCCTGAGATCTCAAGAAAACAGCAAAGTTAGAGAACTGGAGGGATAGAAGTGCAGAAGAGCTGTTATAAAAGGCTCAGAAGGTCTATGTACATAAAGATAAGAAAGGCAGAAACAGAAAACTAACATAATGCTCACAACTGTAGAACAAGTGGCTCAGGATCTTAGCATGTTATCTCTAAGGAAAAATGTGGCAGTTTTGAATCCAAGCAGCTTGAGGTCTGGGAACAGGCTGTGGGGCCTGCTCCCTTTCCCTCCTGCCCTTTTCTTCAGCCTTCTAGGCCTATACATAATTTTCCAAAGTCTTTGATAACTTAAAGGCTTTAGAGCATTGCTGGGTTAAATGATAAACATCTAAATATTTGAAATAATAGAATACTGAAACATTAACTAAGCTGAGTTTGCCTCCTCTGGAGAATCTAGAGAATGAAGTTGAATCTGTTAATGAATGTCTTGTATTTTATTTGAAATCTCTCTTAAAATATAAATGTATTGCTAATCTGAGGAATGTTAATCACTTACATGTCACCTAAAAATTAAGGTTAAGAATTCTAACTAATTGGAAGGAAAGTATGGCTTTGGTGCAATAGAGAAAGCATAAGGCATGGAAATGCATTTTGAAGGAGAAAGAAGGTGGTTTGTAAAGCTGGTTA